CAAGCCCATGCACATTATTTCATGTAAACTATCAGATATCTTCTAAAAATGAGATAATTGAAAGTACATAAATTGAAAGTACGTAAGATTGCCGGGTAACTCCTGAAAATTGAACGCACAGTTTCCCGACCAAAGATATGCAAAATTCACAAAAAATTGAAAACATTAAGACTTGGTTACAATTGCCATAAAATGTTTGTTTGGCTGGTGGCCTACTGCCCTTAAATTGACAGCAGATGAGTGCATGAATATGGAATTTGGAACTTCACACATGGATGGCCTGAACTTGATTAACAGATCTAATGCAGTGAGAGTGCCCACACAGGATCACGAGGTAGAGCTCAAACCACATACAAAGTAACATGAAGATATTAATTTTACAGTTGTTTATACCTGCAGGAAAACAACAATACCAGAATCATCACTCTGACTTGTAGCGTTGCTAAAGATTGACTGAGGAAGTTGTCTAAAGACAGGCCATTTACATGCCTCAGCTGGTTAGCATGATACTGGAAAAACCCTTGAGTTATTCAAATTCTCTTGAGATACACAAATTCTTGATGATATCTTACTATAATACGATAGCTACTGGTAAAGTGCGACATTGTAAGTGCTTCAAGTAGTCATGATGCCTGCATGCATAAGACAGAAGGCTGCTTGCTTCCTTCATATAGTCTTCCTACGGCAAAAATCCCTACCCCCCAGAAAAAAAGCTATTGAAAAAACTATTTGAACAATGAACATTCCCTATTTTAAAAATAAATTTGTAATAAGTCTAATTTTAACAATATTTCCAGGAATCAAAAGGGACAATATGCTGCAGCAAATTATATAAGTAAAATGAGAAAGTATCAACTATTAAATTACCTTTTCACAACATAGAGCATAAAAAATGTCTAGCCTGTGTCTCAACCAAAAATGCTTTTCAGACACCAGTATATAAAAATAGTGCCTACAAAATACATGCATGGGCAGGGTATGAAGCATAGCAGAGCATGTACAAGTAGCACCTATAGTCTCAATAATTCCCCAGTTCAGTTTTTGCTTTGATACAAGTCTTCATCTCTCTCTTTTCAATGGTTTCAATTTCCAATTAGGTCTACATTGATCTGTTGAGATAGACAAGAGATACTAGTTTATAGAAATGGTAAATTTCAAGAGAGCACTAATCTTATCTATAAAAAATGCCAATCAACCTGTGAAGGCAATTTTTATCATGCCAAATACTAAGATATATCTTAGGAATTTAGACGCAAGCAATATAGTCACTTCAAATCTGACAGCTTTTATATCAAGTTCCAAGCAGTTTTGTTCAGCCATACTCCCAACATTGCAATTAAAAAAAATAAAAGGGTGGTTTAAGTTGTCAATTTTACCACAACTTTCATACCATGGAAATGGAGATTTGGCATGTTTCTTTTGCCACATATTACATAATGCAAAATGTAATTTTCTTATGTAAAAGACAGAAGTGAGCTCTAAGCGAGATAAATGTACTATCATGGTCTCAGATCAGGTAATCTACTCAGCCCTTGGCACATCTAATCCACACGGAATTCTTTTTTTTTTTCCCAAGCCTGAAGCCTGAAGCAATGCTATATATTACTAATTCTGGTAAACATACTGAGTATAAAGGAAATGTAAGAACCAATCTGTCTCAACTATAAAATACATATTTTAAGTATCAATGAGAAGATCAGAGAGGTGTTGTCATCTCCTGGGTAAGTATGGAAGTACCACCAGCTGGGCTAAGCTCATCAATAATATAGAGATGGCCAAAAAGGCGTAAAAAGGCATAAAAAAGACATTAATTTTGGCATATAACACATGTGAAAAATGTCTCTTGGTCCTGAACTCTAAGGACAGTAAATTTTATGAAATACAGCCAAGTCAGAATAATTAAGATTCTTATCATCTGACTAGCTGTTATCTCCCTGGCTTCTTCAACTTTTGTCATTCTCCCTTCCCTTCTTTATATACTGAGATTTTAAACAGTAATATGACATGGACAGACACAGTAACCAGAATATAATATCAACAGACACATACAGTGATGACATGGACAGACACAGTAACCAGAATATAATATCAACAGACACATACAGTGATGACATGGACAGACACAGTAACCAGAATATCAACAGACACATACAGTGATGACATGGACAGACACAGTAACCAGAATATAATATCAACAGACACATACAGTGATGACATGGACAGACACAGTAACCAGAATATAATATCAACAGACACATACAGTGATGACATGGACAGACACAGTAACCAGAATATAATATCAACAGACACATACAGTGATGACATGGACAGACACAGTAACCAGAATATAATATCAACAGACACATACAGTGATGACATGGACAGACACAGTAACCAGAATATAATATCAACAGACACATACAGTGATGACATGGACAGACACAGTAACCAGAATATAATATCAACAGACACATACAGTGATGACATGGACAGACACAGTAACCAGAATATCAACAGATACAAAATGTTTGTACATAACAATTAATAGAGGCACAGAAACATCTAATGCATATACCAAGATCTACAACAACCCGTATTATTGAAAAAAAAAAAAAACACTGGATTCCTAATGACAATGCTGCAATTTGTTAGAACAATTTACATGTCAGACCAAGTGCATTATTGCAGGGGAAATGAAATCACTGACAACATGTTTGCTTGTCTTAATCCTCATTACAAAGGGTATTTTTGGATCAGAAAATAAGCCTGTGTTTTTACCAAAACAGAAGATAATCACATAAAGGTAGCTATCTTGATGTAGCATGATTAAAGATGAATTCCTTGTGGAAGGAGAGGAAAAACTGTGTAATCACTTCAAGCCTACATACTGATAAAAATTAATGAAACTTCCATCTTGGAAGCCAAACTTGACTCAAATTATCACAAAAAAAAGAGATCTGAAAGGGAGGTCTGAAAAAGGACCCAAATTACACAGAGGGACCTAAATTAGACAGAAGCCACAGTGTGAAGAGAGTAAAATAGAAATTCTAAAAACACATGTGGGTTGGATGGATGATATATTGATGAAGTGTGTATCATTATTTGTGTATGTAGGATTTTTTTTAATTTACTAATTTGCTTTCTGTGAAATTATTACAACTGCCTAATTTTAAAGCACCATTAACATTTACTTCTGAATCAGAAATGCAATCCTCTTAATGAAGCATATTTTTATAGTTTTAAGTCCCTGACAAGGTGATATAGTCCCATTAAATGGATTCAATTTGTCAGAAAGAAAAGCTGATTTTCATGAACTGCATGTATAAAACCATGCTATAGTGACACCAAGACATCTTTAGCAGCAGAATTACTGGCAATCCTGCAGTCAAATCAGTCTTAGCCTGAAAAGATTCCTTTAATTCCCAATTCAGACACAAAAGATGATAAGAACCCTTAAGTTAAAACTTAACCTGAAGTGTACCTAGTGTCATCATTATCTTCTCTGTCTTCTCAGGTAGCAGTGACAGCTGGTTATGTCTGTATTATACACGACACAGGGCAATGATATGAAACCAAAACATGTTTCACTACCAAGCCCAATGAAGATTTTCGATGACCATTAGAAGGAACAAGAGGTAGAAGACCAGCTTCAAATCCATATTCAAAACTGGTCATTTCTCATTTTACAACAGCCACTAAAATTGATCCCAATGATCCTGGGAGATTAAGAACACAATGATCTTGTTTTCTGATGAAAAAGGATAAAAACTGTATGTGATTCATATTTCACAATAAATTTATTTTAAACAACACATAGAAATAAAATAAATTCTATTTTACTGCCAAAATGCCAAGTATTGCAATTATTCTGGAATTTGTGCCCACCATCGTACCACGTGCACATGGCTAAGATTATAAAAAAATACTAAAAACTTACTCTAAATGTTGGAATGGATTAACTACCCACTGGTAAGTATGGGAAAATTGCTGTTTACCCAAGGAAAATCCATTTTGGCCAAAATGAACATTTGTTACTCTTTCAGGAACACGAACTTATATTCCATGATAAAAATATTTAAATTAATAAAAGTATGGGATTGGCAAAATTTTACATATATTTTGTCTACAGATATAGTGAGTAATTAAACCAATCATTCTATTCAAGCCAGCTGGGATTTAGGGTAGAAAAAAATAACAACAAGAACAAAGCAGTTTTTCTTCAGTTATCATCAGTTTTCTATTCTTAACTGGCTATCATGCATCTGCATCTCAAATTGACCTTGCAAAAATCCATTTGAATAACATTCTGAACACCAATGCTTCAAATGTAATTCTTTAGTTCATGTTTAAGTACAATCTGTAATCTAAGGTCATAATTAAATCAGTGAATAAAATGTTTTATGTCTTTGACACAACTGTCAGAGAGAGGAAATTTGACGATTTCATATAACAAAAACCCAATTAAGCACAGACCCTAAGAAGATTCAAGCTTCTCATTTTTCTGGCTCGTCAGTCCTATGAATTCCAGTGAATTGCAACAGTTTGGATGCACAACCACAAGCAAACACACCACCTTAGATCCTCTGCTGCATTTCTTAAACATACTAATCCAGCACCTCTCAAGCATTGCAACAAAATGTAAAACATACGAATCCAGAATATATTTTCCATTTTCATTTTGTCTTGATCTCAGTTGCAACAAGGTGCATTTGTAAAAAAAGATAGAAGACTGAAAAAATCTTGCCATTAACATCTTCATAGTGCTCAGATCGAGGCATATTTGTATGAATACAGAGGTTGGCAGAATTTAAATATTTCTTACTTATTTTGATTATGTCACCGTTTTGCAATCTATATGACAACTAGAGACCTTTACCGATGGATGGGAAATCTTCATCTAATTATTAAGTTATACATTATGCAATACCACTGTGGCACATGATCAAGTGATCTTAACAGAGTAAAGAAGATCTACATTAAAATGCAACAAATACCTTCCATTTGAATAAAGGCCGTACCCGACCAAGTGGAATTATATCTGTCATGCTGGCATCATCACTGTGTACAGCATATAACATCTGGTGATAAAACATCCATCAACCGGCTGAATCTGTTCCTAAACCTAATGTACCCTTCTGGCTCCAATCTGGAACAAATTTGCAACATAGTTTTTTAAATTTTTGCTTGTAAATGTTTCTGTTAGGTTTGTTACTGTTACAGAAAACTATGCATCTACGTAATTAACACCAAAATAGTGTTCAGTTTCAATCATGCCTGGTCAGAAGAAGTTCTGACTGTCTCTTAGGGTATTTTTCTATTTTTCTAAGCAGAGGACACACCTTGTCACTGGCCTTGCTGGTGTGGTGTACTGTATGTTTATCTTCAAGAAAATACTGTACTCCAGTACGTGCACTGGTCCATTTCTCCTATTTAGAAATAAATTAATTGCTTTAAACAAATATTCCTGTAACAACTTTCTTGAACTTTTGAAGTGACATCTACATTCTGGAAAACAATTAATTAAGTTGACAATGCAAAAAAGCAAATATTCATGGTGCTCAATATGGACATATATATAATACTGTACAAAGAATAACTTAACAGATCAGGTGTGATGACTAATAAAAAGGGCGTACTGTGTGATAACTAACTACATATACTACTACATGGAACTCCCTTAACTGTTGCAAGGGTATCTTTTTCCTATCACAAAAGAGCGAAGCAAACAAGGTCATAACAATTAATTGTGCAAATAATTAACTGCATGCCTGGATTGCAATCAGAGCTCAGTATGGGGTGGTTACGGAACCAATGCTTTGTAATAACCCCCTCCACCCTTTTTTTCTGGGGGGGGGGGGGGGGGGGGGGGGGCTTAAACTCGAAGTGAACATTTTATGGTAATTATTGAAAGGCCTGTCCTTCCTGGTTACTGTGATTCACTATACCATTTTTTTTCTCTTTGCTTGTTATCTAAATAACTGCATTTATTGTTCATGGGTCACAAATTCCACTACAATCAACCAGGAGGTAAAAGAGAAAGGTAACTCCAATTTAAAATGACAACTGTGCATTGAAGCTTTAATCAATAGCTTAAAATGGATAGAAAATGAACTCATCGAAGAAGTGAACCCCCAATCCACGATTCCCGCGACTAAACTGTATAAACTACTTGCCGATTAAACATTAATATGCCTAGTCCCGAAAATAATCTAGCATGTGATTTATTTTAAGAACAGGTAAGTTGATGAAATAATATTCATATTGCCCCTAATGTGTGTCTTTTGACACCATTGTATATAAAATAAATTATCATAAACACATTTATATGTATGAATACTAGATATATTTTAGTAATGATAGATGTACACCTTCGGAACCAATCAGTGTTATGTTGTGTGTCAATATGGCCGAAAAAGTTTTAGAACTGATTGTCGTCCTTCTATTTATACAAATTTCGTCTAAGTATGCTCAACAGTGTGATGTAGCCAGCATTCATGTTACACAAGAAGACGGTAGCCAACAAGTCTTTAGGGTAAAGGGACTACAGCTGTTTGGAGATTGTAAAGAATGCGACGAAGAATCTCGAGCAACCACTTCACGGAGCACTGACCACAGATATCGTTTCGTCTTGCCAATCAGCTTGACCATAGGAGAACTGGCCCCAGAATGTGGTAAGCGAAACACGCTTGTCGTCTTTTAATTTACCCTCAAATCGATGGCGATGTTCGTGAGTTTTATTATTTTTTTCAGGATTTTATATTTTTTGTTTCATTCTGTGTGTTATAAATTTAAATAAATAATAATAATAACACACAATTAATAAATAGCGTTGAACACAGAGCAATTAATGAGGGATTACCCTCCATGTGGCTGTGATGAATCTGCCACATAGCAGATGTGTTTAACGTGACAAGCCCCAGTCAAGATGTTATTGCCTGATGTGCAGTCGTGTGTAAACCCATTACTTGTATCATGCCCTCATATCAGCTGGATAGATCGCAAACAGGGGGGGCTGACGTAGTCTCCTCAGTAAATTGCTTTTACTTAGATTTTACTTGGGCAATAAAGATAGGAGTCTAGGTGAAATGCCAATATTAATGCTGCACTCTGCTTATAGAATTTTTTTGTGTAAACATAGACCTTAATGAAATGTGTTGCCCCTCAATATAATGTGAGTAAATGTAGAAATATTATAGATTGCTAATACTTATCTAGTGCTGTGTGGGTTCAAACAGTATGGTGTATTTATTAAGTATTTTAGGTATTTATGGCAACCAATATAAAATATATATAAAATATTACTGCTGTACAGTTTAATAATGATTCTTCTCTATGTTTTTAGAAATGAAGGGAGATGTGCCAGTGGGTCTTTGTTCTGTTCAAAGAGAGTCTTGTCCAAAGGAAGGCATGTTTAACTTAGAGGTAATTATAATTTAATAAGAATAATCAATATCATACTGTATGCCACCATTGCTATAATGTGATGGCTGTATGAAGAAAGGTGTTTTAATTACTTGAACGGAAATTTGTTAAATGGTATATAGATATTAGGGGATGATTATTAAAGCTAGATAGATTTACCTGTAGAATTGATTATTTAGTATACCTTAAAGATAAAAAATAAATACAATGTTTTTGTAATCATGGTTTTGAGTAAATTTTCTTTTCTTTATTTTGGGAGGGGGGATGGGTGTGCTTGGCTGATCAGTTGACAAATGGGCATATGGCAATTTAACATATTCTTTTCTTAGCTGCATGGCAGATATACATTCCAAATATCATTATTTGAAAATGTATCATATTTAGTTGATTATGAAAACAAATTATCTGATGTAAACCCAACTCACTATTCAGAATGTCCTAATTATATTTTATGAATTTATCAGTAAACCAATATATTGGGAAATAAAATTGATTTTTTTTTCAAAGAAGGTTTGAATTTACTATGCCATTAATATCATGTGTAGTGTCTTTCAAAACATTTTATTTATTTCCAGGCTCATTCTGAATCTATAGCAAAAAAAGGATTAGTGCCACTAGCAACAGGAAATATGGATATAGATAAAAATATTGGTAGGTATAAAATCAGTTATCAATTATTTGGTCCAAATGTATTATTTGCTACAATTTTGGCCAATAGTTTGTTAAACAAGTTTTATGACAAATTGAAAACTTCCCTTAATGCTCAGTGTAAACTTCACCAGTCCATGTATTCAAATTATTATTATTATTATTATTATTATTATTATTATTATTATTATTATTATTATTATTATTAATATTATTATTATTATTATTAATAATAATAAACTTTATTTAAAGAGGATAAAACATGTTAAGTTCACACACTTATTTTACACATGGCCCTGTAGGGGGTTAAAATGAAATATTGTGCTTATGAATAAAAGATGAATAAATCTTTATAGCATCCAAGTAATTTGTTTTTACAAGTTTCTTAGTTGATAGATACTTCTTATTACAAACAACTTTTGAATAACAATAACCCACATTTCTTTTTGTTTACAAAAACCCACTACATGTTTTTTCTTTTGCTAAAGCTATGGGGATGGTTCTGATGAATTTGGTTCAACCAGATGAAGCAGTTCAAGTTTTTACTAATATTATCAAGGTATTCATTTTGATTATCACATTATTTAACAACTAATGTGTTTTGAATATTAAAATGCTTAACAGTACAAAATATGTTAGTTTATTTAAAATTGCAAAATTTAAGGGATTTCTGAAGATTGCTGAAAATTGTAGTTGTAATTAAAGCTGCAACAAAATGTATGTAGATTTGGTTATTTGGGCATAGTCTGTTGAAATAATATGTTTTTAAAGGAGCATCCTGAAACAATAATTGCGTACCACGGGAGAGGGACAGCATTTGCAAGAAAAGGCCTTCAGGTATGTTACTGGTATGGAATTTAGAATATCTGATGAAATATCCAACGAATTAAGTTTCTAAAAATAAGATCTTAAAAATAGGATATAGTGTAATATGTTGATATATTTTTTAAAATTGGATTATTGATCTCTAATATATATAGACTACATAGATATGTATGCTATGTGATTAAATTCTTTGTCTTTCAGTCTGAAACTAATGCAGCTTTAGCACTACGTGATTTTAGTAAAAGTATTGAGTTGGACCCAAAGAAGTCAGAGAGTTATGAAAGAAGAGCAGAGGTAAAGTTACAAAAATATTTATCTGTGAAACTTACCAATAAACTATATCTTTACATGGCCATATTGATTCCAAGAGGTAACTTCTATAATTCGTTGTCATAAATAATTGCTGATTTCTCTTCAGGTGTTGATATTGCTGGGTCAATATACCAAAGCTTTAGAAGACGTCAATAAAAGCCTGAAGCACAGCAATAGAGCCAAGCTATATTTTCTGGTATCTGTCTGTACATTTGACAGCTTTGCTTACTTGTTTCTTTTCAGGTGTTGATATCCCTAGGTCAATATACCAAAGCTTTAGAAGACGTCAATGAAGGCCTGAAGCACAGTAATAGAGCCAAGCTATATTTTCTTAGAGGAACTGCATTGTTTTTGATGCAGGTAAGTCAGCCTTTTGTTTTTGTTTGTCACTAACCCTTAGATGAGAATTTATTGTGATGAAGTAAGTTTTTTTACAGTATTAGCATATACCTATGAAGAAACTTATTCAGAATCAAGGTCATGTCACTTGTTTATAGGCTCATAATGGCAAGAGAGCAGTGAGATCTCTGGATTCGGAGAGAATTTTTTTATGACCAAGAAAATGCATTCAATTGCATTCAGATTTACTGAATGAATTGATATTGTGAATTTAACATTGGGCAAAATAGAAGTGTCAATATCATGATGTTGCACTGGTGAATCACCAGTTTTCTTTGAAAAATTTTCCAAATCCCTGTATTCATAGGAAGCAGTATTTTCTCAATCATTCTTCTTATGGTAAATATAATTGATATCAGGCATATACAATATATATTGATACAGGTGATATGTAACACGCACGCACACACACATACACACACACTCACACACATACATACACACTTTGAGAGAGAGGGAGACTTAAATAGTGTTTCTTCCTTTGTTTCTTGTCTCATTTCAGAAACTGCAAGATGCAGAAGATGATTTTAGAAAAGCTTTGGATCTGGCAAAAGATCCTCAGCATCCCTTTTTGTATCATCTTGGTCTGACATTATTTTATAAGGGGAAAGTAAGGGTAAGTTGAAGCTATTTTATAGGGGAAATTAAGGGTAAGTTGACATTATTTTATAAGGGGAAAGTAAGGGTAAGTTGACGCTATTTTATAGGGGAAATTAAGGGTATGTTGAAATTATAACAGCTAGAGTTTAGGGAATGTTAGCTATGCTTGAAAACCATTGTGAAGTAATTCTAGTTCATTGTTATTTCATTTTAAAAAGTCCGCTGTAATTACAGAAAAGTCAAGATCTTGATTCTGGGAGTGTTTATCAGCTTTTCAATGCTAAAATAAAACTGCATCTCCCACTTTTCAGAATGCAATAGAAGTGTATAAAGATGCACTGAAATTNAAATTAAGGTTATGTTGAAATTATAACAGCTAGAGTTTAGGGAATGTTAGCTATGCTTGAAAACCATTGTGAAGTAATTCTAGTTCATTGTTATTTCATTTTAAAAAGTCCGCTGTAATTACAGAAAAGTCAAGATCTTGATTCTGGGAGTGTTTATCAGCTTTTCAATGCTAAAATAAAACTGCATCTCCCACTTTTCAGAATGCAATAGAAGTGTATAAAGATGCACTGAAATTAGAACCTAACCACACAGAAACATTGCTGAGTCTGGCCCAGGCATTCAGGTAAAATTTGTTCATGATATCAATCTTTATTGCTCAGCACACTTTACACAGACAAGATTTTTTCTCTGAGGTTTTTGTTAGTAATCATGAATTTATTTCTCAAGTTTCAATTTTCTTGAAATTATTTGACACTACTTTGCTGTTATAATGAAAAATTGCAAGCATCCAGGATAGCCCAAACTAAGTTATAAACAGGATAGCCCAAACTAAGTTATAAACTTTATTTCCAGGGAGATTGGCAATGTCAAACAAGCCAGAACACAGTTTAACAAGGCAAAATCCAGGATGCCGTATAATTTACTTACTATGCAGCTATTGAGCAGTTTTGATTATTTCTCAGGGGAGGCTGAAAAGGCACTAGAGCACACTCATGTGAGTTACACTAGGCTGTTGGGGGGGGGGGGGCGGGGGGGGTCAGTGCACCCTCCTTTATTGCTCTCTTTTCATCAAATGTTGTTTATTTCAAAGGATAAACTGTTAGAATGAAGATTGTTGAATAGCACTCCATCCTTCCCTTTCAGTAGAATCTGTAATCTTCCAGGGCAAATGATTCATTTAACTTGATTACCCATATCTTTATTTAGATTCATCTATATTTACATGCTAACTGAATAGCCTGTTTAATTGTGTTATCTTAGGTTACCAGATTAAAAGACTCGCCAGTAAAAAATGTGATAAACACTATGTTTTATGGAGAAACAATGGAATTTATCATGAATGATTCTTGTCATTAGTTGAATCATCTTTTCCTGCTGTAGGTTCACATTAGAGGTCACTCACAGTATTTGTGTTCTATTTCAGACATGTCTTCGAATAGACAGAAAAAATGTGTTGTGTCAATACCTGAGAGGACTTTCCCTGATTGTTCTGGGTCAGCTGTACGAGGGAGTTAAAAGTCATACCAAGGTGTGATATCTATCCATTTATCTGTAATTAGTGATTGTGTTTTGATGTTTAAAAACATAGTGCAATAAGAAAAAAAATCTGTGAAAAAAAGGAACTTGTTTGTTTGAATTACCACTGATAAAAATAGAAATTGGAGTTTACAAACTTAGTTAAAGTTGCACAATGTTTTTCTTGGGATACCATCTTAATTATGATAATCATTACTGATACATGTGGCTAGTTTGACATGGAATTTTTTCCAGAAACTTTCATTGGGTTTCTCCCTGAAGCAAAGTCTAGACCCCCCCCCACCTTGAGTTCCTGACCATAGACCTAATGTTTACAGTGATTGTACTTGTCATGATACACCATTGTCAAGCTGACTTAATGTCAATTACTACATCCAGTATTGTTGAGAAAAGTTCCTTGATTTGTACAGCCCACAGCCAGGAGAGGTATAGAACTTTTTAGATGAAGTAAAAAACCTAACAGTGGCAGAAATATGCCCTCTTATAACCACATTCATGAAAATCAGTTTTTATTCATTGTTATTTTCCTGTGCCCAGGTCATGGTGTATACACCAGCTAGCAGCAGCATGAGAATGAGTCCAGAATTTATCAAATCACATTATCTAAGAGGTGAGTTAGGAAAACAGGTACAGTGGGATACAGTGTATTTTATGTTTCTTCAAGTCATCACTATGAAACTGGGATACAGTGTACTTTATTTTTTAGGTCATCACTATTAAAACTACTGCAAAAATGGCAAGAAAAAGAGCTTGAAGATTAAGAAAAATTTTAAAGGCTTAAAAAGGCACTGGGGAGGCAAAATATATGTGACAAAGCTTGTTCATTTTATATTGTAATAGTTTTTTTTCTGGAGAATTAAAATTTCATTTACTTTGTACCCTTCTACCTCAACAGACAATTTGATAACTATTTCCTGAATGTGATTTGCTGTTCTTATCCACATTTTTTCCACTAACCACCATAATTTATGATATCTAATCATAAAAATATGGATAAGATTACAGTCTCCTGAGATTATAGGGTACCTAGTGATTATATTTTGTTAATACCAAGTTGTGAATGGCTCCTTAAAATGTTTTTAAATGGAGCATTGCTGAATTGTTTTCCAGAATATGCCAGATATCTCCACTCACATTTAGACCTGTCGGTCTTAGATCTCAACTTGGACGAGGATTTCAATGGAGAATTCAGAGATCGATGGGCAAAAGGGCTTCCGTTTCATTTTGAGGTTTGGGTTGTATTTAAAGTTTTGTTGATGTTGATCCAATAACAAAAATTCCAGTTTCCATTTCCAAATGACCACTATAGTTTTGTTGATGTTGATCCAGTAACAAAAACTCCAGTTATCATTTACAAATGACAAATACTGTAATACTAATAGTTAAAATGTACATTATTTGATGCATTATAAGCATTATTATTTTATTGTAATCACATATTACTGTATATGTTCTAGATTTTTTATGCCTTATTTTTTTAGGGCCCCTATAAAGAACAGCCTGGTTTACAACCACATATTAGGTATGTTTAAAAATGTTTAAGGCTACATGGATAATTTCACTATCTGCTCTGTTTAAAGTTTAACAGCAGAATTATATTATGTGTTAATAACAAGAGCATTTTAAAAGCATCAAAATCTTCTTTCAGAGATGTCAGCTTAGATTTAAGCTGGGATAAACTGTCGCCCAGCGCACAAACATTAATCTGCAGAGCTAATAAAATAGGCTGGCTTACACAGGTCACGGCCGACGGCTTCCTGCCCAATAAAAGACTCAATCTGGCTATGGGGTTAGCTGCGACACATATAGCACAGTTTTTAGAGGTAAGTCTATGTTGTTCAGTGGTTAATAGGGTGTAGTAGAGGTACCCTGAGGGTCAGACTACTGGTGGTGACTCTAATTGTCACTTCAGACATTGCTTTCCCTTTATGTAGAACTTACTGATAAGCTTTGAATCTTGAGCTGTGTACAGTCTGGGTGTTACCAGTGTCATATCTATGTGTGTTTTATATGTATCAGCTGTATGAATTGATACATGTTATGATTGTTAAGATACTATTATGTTAGTACTTTTTGTATTTAAATGGTGGGGTTTTATGTTGTTTGAACATAATTTTGTATTGAATGAATAACCATTGTTGTCATGTACCCTTTCAATGTATTGTTTAATACCTATGATTACCATTGTGAATCTACTATGTATATACTATGTATCTGCATAAAATCATCAGAGCAGGGTTTAATATAATTATCAAAATCACATATACTACCACAGTTAACTGAAATTTAACCTTTTGCTAACAGAGTGCTGATCTGATGAAATGCTTTTCTTTGTATGTTTGATTTCTTACTTCCAGTCTTTCTGGCGAGGGAAAAATATGAAGTGTAAAGGTAGGAATAATTATTCAGCAATAAAGTGATAATAAGTTCATTCAGTATATATTGTATCTAGCTTTTTTTTCTCAAAATTTGCCTTTAAAGCATTTTTCATTAATAAATAACATTTTTGGATAACCAGATTTTGACTTTTTAATGTAACATTTACAATTAATCTGTATTTCCTTGCAACACTTAACAAATGCAGTTATTTGATTAGAACCTTGAAAAATTCCTGCCTTTATCTCCTGTTGTCATTCAGGGGCGGATTTAGGCCGTCTTCTGGGTCTTCTGGAAGACGGTCAGATTTTCAAGTTTACATTGACGAGTATCTATTTTTTTCTGTCGGAAGACGGTCAAAAATGTACTGAGTAGGATGAATCAACAAAGATAATTTAGAAGACTGTCAGAAAATATCTCTGGATCCGCCCCTGTCATTGTCTGATTTTTACCACACTATTTGTTTTCAGGAAAGAAATGTACCTGGCGGGACATATTTGACATAGGTGTGCAATACAGAAGACTGGCAGACCCAGATAGTGTAGTCTTATGGCTGGATAAAATACCAGAAGATATTGTCAAGGAGGGGTATAAATGTGATGTCAACTTTGTGAAGTAAGTACACATATTGTCAAGGGGGGTATAAATGTGATGTAAACTTTGTGAAGTAAGTACACATATTGTCAAGGGGGGTATAAATGTGATGTCAACTTTGTGAAGTAAGTACACATATTGTCAAGGGGGGTATAAATGTGATGTAAACTTTGTGAAGTAAGTACACATATTGTCAAGGGGGGTATAAATGTGATGTAAACTTTGTGAAGTAAGTACACATATTGTCAAGGGGGGGTATAAATGTGATGTAAACTTTGTGAAGTAAGTACACAAATGGGTGATTATCAAGGGTCCCAACAGCCATGTTTAAATGGTTTTTTAATCAATTACTTGATTTTTACTTGATTATCAGTTGAAATGGTGATTTTAATTGTATACAAATTGCATTGCAAGGAGTTTATTAACATGAAGATCATTTTAAACTAATGTACTGTCCTAACCTCTGTTAATGCCACTCTTTTAAAGGGGTGATGTTGTAAACATCCGGATGGCACCATATTTTGACCTGGTCTTCAAACTGGTCAAGACAATGTTAGGGCATTACCAAGGGTAAGGAGATTTAGTTGTATATCATGATAAAACTTACATGCAAATGAAGTTAAATAAATATTACTGTAACAATGAATGTCAAAAATAATACAAAATTTGTATGTAGAATTAGTCCCCTTGTTCATGTTTCTGTTAATCAGCATTTTAGAGAAGCATGATGATGTGAATGTGATAAATGTAAGGAATTATCAATTTTTTAGACAAAAAGGAGCAGCAGTTTTGGTATATCATTATTTACAGGTTATTTTCTAGATATATTTAGATATAATCATGTGTTTACATTTTTATTCTATATTCCAGAGAAGGGGTCATAAATTACGCTGGGTTTCAGGAAGATTTAGACAAAGCCAAAAGTGTGCATGATATTTTACAAATAGCACGAGTAAGAGGGAAATCCATTTGAAATATATATTTTGTTGATATATTAATAACTGGTTTATATACTATCTTTTGGAGATTTGTAAATTGAGATATTTTTAAAGAGATTGAATTTTTTTTAAAAAAATGCTTCTTTACAGAATTTGTAATTTTAAAATTGTATCCTTTCACTAAAAATGTTTTTGCTTAAAACTTAATACCTGTGATAAAGAGTGAAGAGCAATATTTTTTTAAATACTATTTCAGAAACGTAATCTGAACCAGCAAGGCTTCATGGTGACCACACAAGTGCCAAGCTCACAAGATAAAAACAACAACCGCCATGAGGGATTAATATTAACCCTGACCCAGGACGGGTAAGATATAATAGAAACACAGAAGTTGCTTCAGTTTCAGTTATCTATTCATGATAGGAAGAAAAAACAAGTAAACTCATTGTATATGCTGATGTTTGTGGTAATTCTCTTGTTTCGTGTCAAAATAAAGTAAAGGTTGAGGGATATCACCTAATTCACCTAATCTGAGGAAGAACTTAAAAGTGAACAGAGCCACTGTAGAAATTGGTAATTGGTATGAATGTAAAATGCTGCATTAAAACCTGTTGTTTCTGATATAGTTCAAGTGTTCATAATCTTAAAAATTTGCCAGGATGCCCTTAATTATATTTGTACTTTAAAGAAGGTAGGTTAGATTTTAATAATTGATTTATTTCCAGCAATGGTCAGGTGACTTTCTCCCTAAACACACCCACCACCAAGGCACGGACAGCGTCCTTCCACTCTGAGCTAAATTATCTATTCACTAAATTAGACAAGGAAGTCAGAAGAACAGGAGCCATTAAAATAGCTGTAATGTTTTAATCTTTTCCTTCAGTTCTTTATTGAAACATTGATCTGAGCAGTCTTGATAGAATTGTATTAAATTTTAGGATGTAACGAAATATAGTCATCTCTGTTATTTACTGTTTTAAAGATGAAGTACAATAAATTGCTTTTTGAGATTGCTTCCTTTAACTTTAAATCAGTTGGTAACAAATTCATTTTTATCTTAAACATGAAAGATGCTATATTCTGCTACATTTTGCTGAACATATTAAATAACCAAATTTGAAAAAGTCTAACCGTATTTCAACATTATTGGACAGCTGTTTTGAGTGAGACAGGAATGGGACAAACATTTTCCTGTAAATTCCCCAAAGACATCAATGGTATTGTCATTTAACCTATATTTTTTTCATTCAATTTCTTTGTTGTTGTTGTTTTTTCAGGAATTTGATAATGTACTGAATCTCATCCTGTCCTTAGGATATTACTTCTACAATCTCATGCCCCTGTCAAGGGGAACAAGGTATTGATAGTCTTCTTATTTTACTTCTGTGTAACACGTTTATATTTCCATAGATGATTGACCTCATTCAACTGTTTGTTAATTCAGTTCCCTTTTCAGGATAAACAAGTATTATCAAACATGTCAAATATTTAATATCAGAAAGTGACATTAACCTTAAAAATGTTTAACTACAAAAACTCAGTTTTCCTCACAGAGAGGTTTTATCCTCATTTATCTGTTCATGGCAAATGTTTATTTTTATCAAGGGTCGCCATGGCATAAAAACCATAAAATTGTTTGTTGCTAAAGGAGTTAAAAGTTATGAGATGTACTGATGCCTGAATAGCCTCTTGTTGATGGTCAAGAATTGGGGCTTTACTTTTAATTTAGTCTGTGGTTAAAGTAAATATGTGAACATAGTTTTGGTTGCTGTATTCTAGTGTTGTTGCTTACTCTGTCATCTTGGGACTGTTCATGTCTATGGGGAAAGAAGTAACAGGAAAAATACCACAGGGAAAGGTAAGGAGGGGGATTTCCACTTCAGTAACCCTTGTTGTAAATTATATTTCATCAAAATGAAATAGGTAGGATCTCAATCTATAAGAATCTCTTCACTACAAAACTTATTGCCAGGTCATTTTTATGAGTGTCATCATGCTTGAAAGCATAAAACAATGTTGGCATTTTTATTATCTGTGCATGTTTTACTCTTGCTCTGTTTTTACTCTCGTTTTGGTTGAATTTTTGTAAATATAAAATGATTTTTTTTTTTTTTAAATAAAGAAATATTTGAATTAAACTTTTCAGTTACTGGATCTAGAGGCCATGTTGTCTGGAGGTCCAGATGCTTTTATTTTGGTGGCCAAACAGTGGATGAATGTCAAGAAGTAAGTTTAATTAGTCAACATTAAAGTCAATTAATTCTACCACACCTCTAAGCTACCAACAGCTTTATTTGTGTAAAATGTAGTGTAATTATTTCTTCAGTTGGATCAGGGTACTTTACATGAATTTTATTTCATGTATGTTTTAATGTCACATTGATACATATTTATTAGATTTTATGTGTATAGATCCATTTTTGCCAGAACAAGCTTGTGCATAAGAAACATCAGAAATTCTATTCTTTACTGATACATTGTTTATATTTCTAGGACTACAGTCCCGGTTTCTCAGCTTCCCCAGGTCACAGCTACTTTCCCCACTGTCCGCAGTGTCATCGAGGCTCTCAAAGTAGGGGCAGCAGACTGCTAGCACCAACAACAGATATTCAGACAAGCAAGAATTCAGGGATGGTCTTCTGATAATGACTGTATTTTAGTGTTTGAACCCTCACCAACTGATTTAATATCCAGTTCACAATGTAGTAGTAACTCAGCAATCTGTCATCTTCTCATCTATGTGTAATACAGCTGCACTCATCTGTATTCCATATACTTGACAACAGTGTATTAGTCTTTAATCTACAGCTGAGAAATCCTGGTTAAACTTTTGTCCTTGTGAATGTACATCATGTCAAAACCATTACAAATTTCTGGGCAAATTTTGGTCAATGACAACAAACTAACACCTTAAAAATTAGGGAATTTATACTTAACTCAGTAATGATCAGTATTTTCAGAAAAATAGAAAATAGTTTTGCAAAGCAGTTTGATTTCACCATGGCAGTAAACACAGATGTTAGTGAGAATCCCCTCAGAGATAGATCAATCCACAGTTAGTACGATAGGGTTTGGGAATGGCCCCTAAGGTTACTTTAATCCAGTTAAACAGCAGATATGGTGAAAAACTTGCTTGTTTTCTGATAAAAATTGCTTTTGACATACATAACAATAAACATTTTAACAAAAACAAAAATATATGGACAAAATGCACTCTCAGACTGAAGGAGCCTAGCTAGGACAGCTCGGCCTCCATCTTGTAGAGATCAACCATTTTAACAACACTAGACCAGCTTACTCTAATCTTTGTACTGGTTTTGTCATACTAACTTTAAAAGATGTGGTCATTTATCAGAACACTGTAAAACTAAATTCTTCATTTTGTTCTAATCTTGTATTAAATGTAACTTAAAACAAATACTTAATAAAGTATTCAGTTCAGTGCTATATACATCATACCTGCGAAGACGTCAGAATATCACTTACAAAGAACAAGTTAAATGTCCTGTGAGACTTTTATAGTTTTAATAAATAAACATAGTGATGCAAGTAAAATGTTTGTTTTCTTTTCATGATATATAATATAGTTATTATACTATGATATCTGTTAAAAATCTGCAACTACGGTGAAAAATCTTAAATTATGGTCTAATCATATAAGTTTAAAATTTCCCTAAGTACATATTTTTGGATTTTATAAAGAAGGCTACAAAAACTGTCAATCTTGAGGTTCCAAGCTTCCACAATTTTACACAATGGATCAAAAGTTAAGTTTTGTTCATAATCATTTTTAGTAGGAAAGGATGCTGATATCGAGAGTTTGGGGCCGAGATCTGTCAATAGTAAAAAAATTGCAGTGTAAATTTCTACTGTTGTCTACTCCTTCAAGTTGTGCCTTTCTGCCTATGAGCATGTGATGTAAAATGCCTTCTAGTTCTTAAACACAAAGGGATATTACCCAGTACTCCCTCTAATCATATGCAGTGGACTGAGGGGTGTACGCAGACTTTTTTACATTTACAAATAAGAAAATGAAACAAATATATACTTTAATTTTGTAAAAAAAATTGTTGTTATTTTTGTTGTCTTGCATATTTTTTGTTACATTCACAACAAATGACTATATACCAGTAAACATATAAAAACCCTTATTTACATAATTTTTTGACACATAAAATATAAAAATAATAAAATATAATAACATAGGAACTGGGTGAGAAGGACTGCTTGCTGACATTGTCGTGGGTCGAAACTCTTCATGCTATATGTCCCAACTCCTTACAGTATGCTCACCACTTGTACCCAGAATACATAATTTCTGTCGTCAACCCCAGGGGCGGATCCAGGATTATTTGAAGAGGGGGTCAGGGGTTGCGAAGCTGACCCTCCCCCCACCCCACCCCACCCCCACCCCCACTTGGCGTATTGTTTGGGTGAAGGGCCCTGGAAAATTCTGTATTTAATTTAAAGGGCAAACGGTGCCTGTTGGTATGGTTTAGAACTATGATTCAGCTTGTCCAAATTCTAATTTCAAGAGGGTTACCAGATATCGAAGAGGGGGTCAGGACCCCTCTGACCCCCCTCTCTTAATCTGCCACAGAACCCCCTCCCCCTCCCGGTTCTGTATTTAGGCAATCTCTAGAAAACAAATTGCAATTTCAATTACAGTGAAATATGGCTTTATATTTCTGTGCGAATTGATGATGGCTTCGTCTGGTTGAAGACGGGACCTCCTGAGCCATGTACGTCGTTGTGATGTAGACATTGCTCAACCAGCCACTGCGGCGGATGTTATTAATTATGATCACATCTTGCGTCCTCTCACTGCAATGGACAAATCCATGCAGGAAAAGTTAGCTGAGTATCGAGCTAAAAAGTCAAAAGAAAACCAAACTCCTCTGATTCATAGATTATTCGGGAGTGGAAACTCGAAAAAGACAAACGTAAGTTCCCCTTTCTCAAGCTGGCGGCGGTGGCAGTGGATTTTTAATATTTACCTGTTTGTGTCAGTTTTCGGCCTTACCTTCCTTACATAGCATGTTGTAAGCACAACAACTGAGGCAAAAACTTGCCTCAACTAATATTCCATCTAATGCATCAAAATTGTATCTTAATTCCCTTTGCAATAAATTAGTATAACCCTTTGAAATGGATTCACTGGTGTTGAAGTAAGGGGAGGACAGTTCAGTAAAATGTGTGGGTCTGAAAATGGAATATAGGAGTACTGGAGTTGAAATATGGTGGAGGCTGTGATTGAAATGGGTGATTTGCAGTTGTTTTCTACATTTTTCTGTTCTACTGAAAAGCTATAAGCCATTGTTCTTTGATGTCCTCTTTCATATTTTCAGATTAAACCAGATCAAAACAGACCAGTAAATAACCATGATAAATATCACAGTGAAGCACAAGAGGGAACAGATAATGATGGAAATCACACCTTTCGTCCAGCTGATCTGGAAGAACCTCCCTGGATACGCAATTACATTCCAGAAATCTTGAAACCAAACTACTTGAAAATCTGTCTATGGTTTATTCTCTGGGGACTCTTCATTGAGCTCCAGTTTGGTGCTGTTTATTTTGTGCTCTCTATGTTTTATGTGGTTTATGCTAATACAGGAAGTCGAGTGAAAAAAGATGGAGCGCCCAGTGCATATTCCGTATTCAATCCAAACTGTGAAAGACTGGATGGGACTTTCACTGCAGAACAGTTTGAGCAAGAATTAAGATATGGGGCAGGGTCTGTTAGATAAGGAAAATTAGTGAAATTTTTCTTAATTGCATATTTATTAAGTGATATGTTATTTACTGGTATTATTATTATTATTTTAAAGCTTTTGTAATAATTTAAGGTCTTTCGAGGGGTTATTATCTTACAATGTAGATATTTGCGGTGGCAGGTCTCTTTGAAAAATAGTGTAAGAGTCTATTTAACCTGGGTGTATATTGACAGACTTTGAGCTCATTCAGGACAGATGATTTGCTGACTAACAGATCTGCAGACTAAATATGGTGTCGGACCTCACTGAAAAGCAAACTGCCCAATACCCTGATGGTCTCCCTGTCTTCACACGCGCCATCCCTGCCCTAGCAATTAAACCTGGGAGCCAAGATTTAATCGGTTTAATTGTGGAGTATGGCAAGTCTGGAGCAGGAGACTTATGTATTTCGTGGCCCTGCTTTCGAGTGGGTCCGCCATATTTGATCAACAGATCTGTTAGTCCATAGATCATCTTGTTATGAATGTGCTCTTTGTTTTATTGCCTTTTGGTCATATGATGAATCTTATCATTGGTGGATTCAGGGAGAAACACCCACATTCTCCCACTCCCACCCACCCCCTTTGAAAACAAAATATCAAATATAGTCCCTGCTGGAGAGAAAAATCACTAAGAGCACACTCAAAACAGTGAACTAACAGATCCGCAGATCAAATATGGCTGATTCACTTATGTGCTTGTTGCGTTTTTCCCATGGGGAAACTATTCGAAGTCTAGCTGGGAATAAGCAGCAAGCTTTTCAGTGGGTCAGCCATTCCCACAGATATTTAGATCGATCTATCTCCCTGGGGAGTCTCACTAAATTGCTGTCAACTTGGCCAGCTTGAATGTCTGTCATGCGTAGTAAAGCTGTTAAAGGGTAATTAACTTTACCCCCTAGCCTATTTGGTAGGGGTGACAGACATTTAAGCCAGTTAGTTGATTACAATTTTGTGAGACTCCCCAGGGAGTTAGATCGATCCAGTTGGATCGATCTGTGTATGGGTACCCAGTCTTAACCCCTCATAATGTTTACTTGACACAGCAATATGCTCAATACTGTACCTTTTTCTATTATGTCTTTCCAAACAAGCAAGGGTCAAGGATGGCTTTATATCTAAGAGCTTTTTTCATAGTAAAATATCAGTGTGGATAATCTCATTTTATAGGCAAGTAACAGCTTTGACTTTAAACACAGTGCTATATTCATATATGTACATATATTTCATTGGGTCTCAGTTTCTTGCCAGACTAGGTCACAAGACTGAGGTAATTACCTGTTTACTTTCACCCGAACAGGTAATTTAGTTCTGACCAAGTCTGTCAAAGTGAACAGACCAAAACCTCAACAGCTAAATCAAATACGTAGATCTGTCATATACAAAAACTTTTTACTAACATATGAATACTTTTTTGAATACTTGAGTGTTTGTAAATTGTAGTGCTATACTTTGTTATAGCTGTTTTCTGAGTAGTCAGTGTATTGACACTGCAAGCAATCACATGAAACTTAGGTTAACTAATATATACATGAAATGGCAGGTTTGGTGCATAATTATAGGTTTTTAATGTAATGGGACAACTTTCTTCTCGAAATTTTTGAGTCAACTGTTGTAAAAAAATCGAATAATTCAATTGAAAACATAATCTGACTTACTGCTTTTCTTATATTGCATGAACAAATGTATTCTTAGGTTATCTTTTGGACATTTAAGATGTTATTGAAAGTAAAATAACCTCATGCATCTACTTACCTGTTATAAGACCTACAGTGGGATATGCCATCCAAATTTGGCACGTCTTACAAAAATGACAATATTGAAACAGTTCTCTTTGATGAAGCACTCGAAATTCAAACAGAGAAAGTAATGATGGGAGAAGAGATGAGTTGGCAAAATCACTACTTTACAACGTGTTCAAAGATCACAAAATCGAACTTTTATAGGCAGAATTAAAATTAAAAAAAGTCCCAGAGATGAGCTGCAACCCCGTAGCCAGCAATTTCAAAAGGGGGTTCTTTTTCTGAAAATGTGGACCTTTTACTTTGAAAAATTTATATACCTAGATAGAATTTTACTTAGAGGGGACCTTTTTCCTGGCAAAAATGGGGTTATTTTCGACCCCCCCCCCCCCCCCNTATTAAACATCCTGAATGAATGAATTGTTTGACTCATTTAAAGTAGGTATAGTCATCTGCTTCTATATAATGTTTTATTTAATTTACTTATTAAAAATATTCATTTAATTTGTTCATGATTTATCGTACAATTTTATTTGTAAAGAAAAACAAATTATTATTAAAATAAACATCCTCTAAACAAAAGAAAAGGGACAAAAACGATTTATTTTATTTATTACTGAAATAGCATGCAATGCAGTTGGGAATCGGTACAAACAATTGAATATATTAAGGATATTTTGAAGCGGTTACTAGTAAATTCTCTTGCAGAATGAAATAAATCCTTACTACAGACCACCACCAAAACATTTATCAAAAGTAATGGTAGTTAGCTATATACAGATATCTGGGCAATGCGGACTCTCCGCTGAGGGGAATTGGACCTTTCTCCTTTATTTTTCCCTTATCAATTCTTCTGTTTAAACCATACAGACTGCAAATAATATTTTCGAAAAAATAGCTATTTTCTTATTGTGTTGCGTGAGACGAGACAGTCCAATATGGGGCGTAATTCGTGAAGTGCATTCCTATCCGAAACCCCGCGAGACCCCGTGCAATCCGGCCGTAAAAAATGAGAAATGAGTTCTCATAAGCTGACGGTCTGTGCGGTTAACTTGCAG